GCCCTTGCGTCTGCTTTCCCGCAAAACACATCACACCCAATCATCGCATTGCGAATAAATTGCAAAGCGACGAACTACTAGTTCGAGAACACAATTCTCCGTACAAATGCAATCTTCACAAATGGCATCTTCGTGCAAAGACATTATCTCTGTCCTGTAAACCGCTGAAATCATGCTGTCGATTGAGGTGATTGGCAATTAGCGTGCTCTGCGGAAAAGTGAACTTTCAGGTTTTCTTCATAAAAAGTGTGGCTATTACTCGAGTAAATACGGTACGCCAAGATCATCATTGATTCAAACACTACGATTCCTAGGAGTGGGCTATCTTTCGGCGTTTAAAATGAAATAGCAAATCGAGCCAAAGATAGGGGTGGGTTACCTTTCGGGGGTGGGGCATCTCTCGGGATCTTATGGTACACTACTTTGAAAGTATTGTATTTATAGTATTTCACTTCAAGTACATTGCGTGCAGTGTACTTACTACTTTACTTGAAGTACATAGCCTCTCGGTTACTTTGCACTTGACTTCAAGTACTTTTTAGATGTACAATGCCCAACACTGGTCATTGCAGTAAGGACTTAGCCAATGGTGAAGGCAAGAATGTGTTTAGCACCAGACTTGGTTTCTGTTTCATCAATCTGAGTCTGTAAAATAGCATGAGCTCATGCCACAATAAGCACCCATCCGCCACTTGTGCAGCGTTTGAAAAAATAAGCAAAGGTCATATCAAGTGGCCACTTCTGAGATGACCTAGCTAACTGAGGTGCTTCTCCACATGAGCCGCTTTTCCGAGCATGCTGGTGCCAAGTGGTGAAGCTCGACACATTCTTATCGGTGCAAAATGGTGAACCATGTTGCACAGGTGCAAAGCTGTGACCTTTCCTTGTGCCCATTCTGCACTTTTAGTCTTAAACCTAAGTGCCCATCTCCTAGTTTTTCAAGATTATCTCCTAATTTTGGGTGATTGCTTGCTTTTTATTTTATGGTGTGTGAGACCTCATGCTCGCCACCGGAGAGCTCAACACATTTCACATTATCAACAGATCCTTGCCCTTGCCATGTGATGGTTTCTGTCTACGAACTACAGTTGGCAGCTCTTTACATCTTCTGTGCACATGCAGGCTGTTTTCATATAAAGGTTTACTGTAATTGTATTCAGAAAACTATAGTATACTAGGGCATTATTTGGTTAATATTCCATCTGGCTTTTTTATTTCTCAATTTGTTCTAGCCTGGTCCAGAGGCAGTGATGCATCCACAGTTATGAGGGCTCATCACCTAACATTTTTTTTACGTTCTTCTACAGAGTTGGCCACAGAGTTTGGTAGCTCTGCCGTTTGTAAATCAGATTTTGACTACTTAAAGGGACACTGACTGGTTATTTTTGCTCACTGTGGTTTTTATTTGAACATGACCTATAGACCAACTCATGTTTACATTCAAACCGGAGTGCCCCTAGCGGACGCCACCGGCGCTGCGCATGCTCTATGGAGTTGGGCAAGAAGCTTGTCATCGCCCATAAACACACCATTGGAATGTGATGTTGTCGGTGTCGGTGTGGGTTCCTGTGCTCTTTTTCGCATTGGACTCATTACACCACAAACTCTGCATGAATAATGTGACATGCCTATATTCATTCCACGTGGGCGCTGCAGAATGGATGTTAAAGCCTGATTTGTATGATGAGGTTCTGCTCGCTATTTTCAGTCATGATGTCACTCGGACTGCAAAAGCGTGGACCGTAGCTGAGATGTCGACGTCTATACTGAAAATCGCTAGCAGAATCTGACCAAGTGAATCAGGCATAACAAGGGCCACTGGTAACAATTGTCAACATCTTCTTGAATCTACTGTTTACACCGAGCCTACTTACCCCAACCAACTTTTAAACTTAAAAGTCTTTTGAGGCTTGCACTTACTTATCGCAATCACCGGATCAAGGTTTGGTCTACAGGCTACTGTCGTTTGAACGAGCAAACGACAAGCAGAAACGTTTGAGAGAGCAGACGACAACTTGAGCGATCAGGCGACTGTTTGAACTCGATGACACTCTAAACGTATCCGCAGGTGGTCTGTACAACTTGGCAGTTTTGCCGTATTCGTGTTGGAACAAAACAAAGAAATCTGACGACGACAAGTATCCGTGAATTCAACCCAAAGTGCTTCTTTCACAAGCAATCGTGGTTCGACGGCGTCTGGTTTTTCTTTTGCACGGTTCCTATCCACGTTCTCGGATGAACCGAACAGGCAGAAAACACATGACAACTGATTTTCAAGCCTTTCCCAACTTTTTTGGATCAGCCCCAGTCGCGGCATTTTGACGAGAAGGCAGGTTTTTGTCTGGTTTCTTCCAAACCAACCACCCGACGTGCCACTACTGCACCATGATGTAACAGAGCTGAGTTCGTTTATGAGAGCCCAACTACCCAGAACACAGTTTATGGTAGAAATTTGTTTTCTTTCTGCCCGTAAACAGCCGGCCGAGAGTCTGCCGGTTTCAGTCGCGCTCGCTTTCATTTCCATGGTCATGTGGCGTTCAAACTAAAGCATACCAAATATATTCAAAGTCGAGGGTCACCAAGGCACGCATTCAGTATTAAAACTAGAAAAGAATATAAACCTCATTTTGTGGCCTCCAGAAACCTGCAAATACATAATAAAAAAAAAAAAAAAAAAAGGTTACATTGGTCACAGAAAGTACACATGCACGTCATTCTCAGTTTGGCAACGTTCTGTGGGCGGGACGACGCGATGGCAGCGCACGGCAGACCAACGTTGTGAGTGACGTGGGGCCACTACTTCGGAACTGTCGTTCGTGGTACCAGACAATCAATCTTCAATGCAGAACATTGAGTGGAAGAGGTTTAAGTCTGAAACAATCTCACGACAAACGATTGATGCAAGTTCTTTGTCGTCGTTGTCTGCTTTAGGGGCCGGAGAAACTGAGGAAGAAAAAATGCGGTCGGGTGTAGCCACATGATTTCCGGGCCATGAGCTTCTGTGCTTGTGTTTTGGTTTCGAGCAGTTGAGTTTTTTGGCTTTATTAAAAATATATGTGACTGCAGCGAAATGTTGATTGGGTATTCTCCTGACACCATAATAAATCGCCTGGCAAAAAATAACAAACATTTTTGGGGGGTGTCAGTGTCCCTTTAACTCTTTCAGTACAATAGCTTTCTGTTTATCTTCATTTCATTCAGCAGTCTGTGAAACCTGTGCGTAGAAGCAAGTATCTTTGTTTGAAGATCTAAAGGTCTATTCACACAATGCATCTTTGTGGCAAGTCTAGTGTTGTGAAACTAGGCTTTGGGAAACAGATGTGTCATTTGAACCAGACCGGTAAAGACTCCCATGTCAAAAGAAGGATGCATGTGCTCCTCGCTCTTAGAGTGAAATTTTGCTGAAACTTCACCGAGGCCCGTCAATCATCCGAAAGAGGAACATGGACGCTGCCAATGGCTGCTTAACATCGCTGTGACGTCTCTTCTTCGGGACAGAGCGAGCTTTTGGAGGAGCCCGATTTCTGGCTGATCCCATATCCAAGCCAAAGCCGAAAAAAGAAAACAAACATGGCGTTGAGCGACAAGCAGGGAAGCGGTGCATACAGGTGACACTGGTTGGCGGCGAGGTGCAGATTCAACAGAACATGATGACTAGAAATTACTGATCTTTTAGCAGTGCGAAAATTTCAGAAATACTTTGAGATCATCCTTCTGTTCTTTGACGTTCACATTGTTTCCTCGGTTTGGCAGGCCTAGCAAACTGAGCGAGCCAAATCTGATGAAGCTTATCAAGTGATATTAATAAAGCAGACTATCTCTTCACACTCTGTGTACTTCATGTCATCTGCTGTGAAGCGCTTGACATTCTCGGTGCAGATGACAATGTTTGGCGAAATTCTCGTGAGTCAACATGTCGCAGTTTTCGCTCGTCAAACTCGACGTGCGGACTAGCTGATTGCATGAAATCTTGGTTTGGCGAAACCATTGCGTGTTGAGATAATGCACTGTGTGAATCAACCTTAAAGGGCACTGCTCACAGCTTTCTGAAAAGTGAAAACACTAATCTAATCCATGTGGGTTTCTCACACTGAAAGGGTTTAATCTTAAAGGGGTTATGACACGAAAATTAAACGGATAGATTATTCTTGAAATGGAATGCTCATATGCTAGTTAGTGTATACACCAAGTTACATGATTTTTAGAGCTCTGTTAATTGCAATATTCAATTTACTAATTTTCATCATTTTCATCTGGCGACCAGGCAACACTGCCCAAGTTAGTCACAGCATGGTGTCCATAAACCATGTGACCATGAACGCTCTCTTATTCTAGGCGCCCCCATGATCGCCCAAGCTCTCCTCGCCGCGGTACAATCAAAACCGCACACGCAACTCGGTAACCCGAAAGCTATTCTAGCTCTCACCCCCGGCCCGTTGACTTTCCACTGTGCATGCGCCTGCGAGATATTCCTGGACGGCGGTGACCACGGCGAGTTCGTCCGTCACTCGTCGTCGCTGGAGCTGGTAGCCAGCGGGTCGCTGTCAAAATGAACAGCTTCCAACATAAATTAATAGCAATCACTCTCATCGCTGCTGCGATCAGTGTAGAACACTTTGACAAGGTGAGCGATGCCGTAGACGTAATCGTCGGGGACCGCATGCTTGAAATGCGGGAGGTAAACGAGGAAGCTGAAGGCTCGAGACGCCAAGAGAGCCAAGTCTGTGAGTGCGTGCAAGGAGACACCGTGGTGGAGGCTGGCTACGTAGCCGGCCTCCAGCCCTGCCCGGTCCGCCCCTCCGAGGGACCCGCTTATAAATCGATTTATCCACGAAACTACCGCGTAATTTTCAAAACAAATTTAGAGGGATTATAGGAACATACAATGGGTCCTAGCAGTATAGTTATCTCATATTTTATTTTTGCCGTGTCATAACCCCTTTAATGTTTACAAGGTACTTTTTGATCCGAGCTCTTATGCTGTGTTGTCTACCTTGTAGCTGACCTTCTGCAATGAGATTTCCATAGTGGAGAAGCTCACCTACACGGAACACCCTCAGGAACAGAGCTGGTAAGTTGTTGCAGTTCTTGAAAGGAAACGGAGCAGAGCAGGCAAAGCATAATGCCTCCTCAATCTTGCTCTTAACCCAATTTTTTTTTTTTTTGTGCAGAACTTTGAAATGCTTGCAGTCTGATGGATGCTTATGGCAGTGTGGGCAGGTTGTAGCCACACATTTAAGATTTCCGGGTAGTCTGCATTATAATTCTGAGATTTTCATAGGGGCATGCAAGATATCCTTCAGTTAGTTTGAAAAGAGTATGTGAACTGTCTGCTAGAGCAGTGGTTCTCAAATGGGGTTCCGCGGAGCAGCTGGGGTCTGTGAAGCCCTCGCCTCAACCCCCCCCCCCTCCCCCTTCCCTCTTTTCTTTAAAAAAGAAAAAAAAGAAAGGTTTTTTCTTAACCCTGGCTATGTGGCACTAGCTACCGCCCGTCATAAAGGGTACAGCCGTTACCATCTATCCATCCATTCATCCTTTTACTTGATTCTCACATCTGTAAAAAAAATGCCCTTCTTACACTGCATTTAGTTGTCTTATTTTGTACCTCCCCTTGCCCCGCTGGCATGGTTCACCCATGTGTCGGGTATGGGGTCCCTCATCACCGACACATCCATGCTTGAGAACCACTGTACTAGAGGTCATATTAGTCTGCACAAAATTTTCTGTAAACTCGCAAGTGGATATACTGTAAACGACTTAATTTTTGCGAATTTTGCAACTTGAAAAGTATTGCAGAATATTGATCATGCGAATATGTCACCCCATGGTAACAAATACATAGCATACCACTTTCAATCGCAAAGTTTTATGCCCCATGAATTATTCTCGAAACCTGCACTTCGCAAAATTTTGCGAAATAATGAGCCTACGAATATACAGGGTGCTTCATTTTAATTCAAACAGATTTTTTTAAAAGAGGAGGTGAAAGTTAGACGAGTGCCGTGTTCACCATACATTTATCAGGTTCGGTGGACATTGGATAAGGGACTATTCGTCATGTTAAGTTGACTAATTGACTAATATCTGGTAACTAACTTTTTAATAATTTGTTTAGGGGTCATGTTGCAATTAGAGGCGAGACCAACTAAAATAATTTGCGAAAATGTAATGATTTTGTAGATATTAATTGACAAATTTTCACAATTTTTAGCCCAACTTAAAAATTGAGTGCAAAAAACACTGCAAGCCCTGCCCACAATGGTGCTTAAAAGATTGACATAGTCATTTCAGTCACATAGTCACTTTTGTCGTATGCTTATCCACCGAGGACACACTGCCGAGATAGTGACGACACTATGTCACTCCTTTTAGCGTCATTGTGGGCAGGGCTTACGGCGTGCTTGTTGCATGCAAATTTTTTAAACGGGATAAAAAATGTGAACATTTCTCAATTAATATATAAAAAACCATTACATTTTGGCAAATTCTTTCAATTGGTCTGGCCTCTAATAGTAATTGCCATCAATAATGCAATTGCAACATGACCATGAAAACCAATAATTAAAAAGCTGGTTAATCACCCTACTTCCCATGATGACTATCCCCTCATCTAATATTCACCGAGCCTTATAAATACATAGTGAAAACGGCATTCGTCTTACTCTCACGCAAAGCTGTTCAAATTAATATTAAACAACCTTACACCGCAAGATACTAAGCATCCGCTCATCCCACAATAAGTGCTCACCCCTCAATTTTGTTACATTCGGAAAATATGCAAAGGACATATCGTTACTTATTGTTGATCTAAGGAGCGCTCATGCCCCAGTTTTACATGATTACCGTATTTTTGCGCATATAACTCGCACCCCCAACCTACGACCTCTAGAAAAAGAAAAAAAAAAAGACACCTCATATTACCCGCATAATAACCCACGGAAAGCAATGTCAGTCACCAAAAACAGTACCTTTATTGGAACATTACTCATCGCTACAGTCACTGCAGCTATCAGTTGAAGAATCTTCATTGTCCCAGAAAGCATCGTCATCCATGCCGTCCAGGCGATTGCTGATACAGCACTTCCTAAAACTCTTGCAGATCATCTGTGCAGGAATCGCCTTTCACGCGTTGATAATCCACTTGCAAAGTACTGCTATGTCAGATTTGCAGATCCGGCCCGTCGGCGTGAGGTCGTACTGCTCCTCGGCAATCCACTCCGTGTACATGCGCTTCACGTGTGCCTTACATGACTTGTTCAAGAAAACGTCCATCGGCTGAAGCATGGACGTCATCCTGCCTGGGATCATGACGAGGTTCGTCTTGTCATCCGCGAGACGGGTCTTCACTTCCTCGGTGTTGTGGCCCCGGAACGCATCCAGCACTAGCATGGACCTCCGCGCTAATGTCGTGCTCGCCCTGTTCTCCCACACGGTTTTCAACCAGTCGACGACAAGATGACTGTTCATCCAGGAGTTGTCCTCCGCATGCACAACTATCCCGGAGGGCAAATCAGTGGGAAGCGTCTTGCGCTTAAAGATCACATACTGCCGTAGCTCGTGCCGTCTGCTAATACGCACAACATCACTGCAACGCAGTTTCGAGTTGCCGCCCGTCAAAATGCTCACCGACTTGGAGCCCTTTTTCTGAAGAGTTGTGTCCAGTGGCATTTCAAAGTACACGGGAGTTTGGTCCGTGTTACCAATCTGCGAGTACAAGTAGTTGTGTCGCTTTCGGAGCCCAATCACGTGGCGGTGGAAGTTCACTAACTTCTCCTCGTAGGCGTCAGGAAGTTGTTGGCATAAGGTCGTCCGCCTCCGGATGGGAAATCCTTGGCGTTTCATGAATTGGTGAAACCACCCGCAGCTGGCACGAAACTGGTCGCGCGGTATGCAGTCTTCTCTTGCCAGCCTCAGAGCTTCGATCTGGGCCATCTCTGTTGATACGGCGTGGCCGCGGCTTCCCTTCTCCTCAATGAACTCCGCCAGCTTGGCTTCGATCTGGGGGTAGGCTCCAGTCTTGGGACCGCGGAAGGACCTGTGGTCACAGCTTGCACTTTGAAGATCCTGCTTCTTTGCTCTCCACTCACGTATACAAGATTTGTCGACATCATACTTTCGGCCTGCCACACGGTTCCGATATCTTCGGCAATGCTGATTATTTTCAGTTCTGCTCCACTGTAAAGGACTGCCGCCGAGCACACCTCTTGTCGAACGGATCGGGTAGACCAAGATGGCAAGATTGACGTTTCTTGCTTCGTTCTCTCTTTGTGGGTGCGCGGCCACTCCAGCATTTTGGCGCGCAGACGATGCAAAGATGGCAACTCCAAAAAAGAAGGTAAACAAGGAGAGACGGGAGAAAGTACCTAGGAAGCAACGGCTAAGAGGGATTCTGGGGAATTTACATCCCTATCGACCATGCGGCTCGGCGCGTACTGCCGTGAAACCACTCTCGCGTCCAAATTCGCGTTTTTTAAAGTTTTGATGCGGGTAATACGCGAGAAAATACGGATCCAAATTTTGTGAGTGGGCACTTGCTCAGGATTTTGTGGTAGTCACTTACAGTAGTCAGTCAGAAAGGCTTAGTCCTTATACTGTGTCGGTTTCTTGTGCTGTCTACTGAAGGTTCCTCCCTGCAGTGTCTGCAGTTCAGAGCTGGGTTTGTAATGATCAATGCTTTTGCAGCACGCTGATGAAACAGGAGGCAGTCATCACAATTCGAGGGGTACCTTTGAGCAGTTACTTAGAAGACTTTGTCGCTAAGGCCATCTCCTCAAATGCCGGAAAGGTAAGTCAGATGCGTGTGCTTTGTGGTTCCTTTCATGTTTTCTCAAAATCTAGTGCCTCAGGAAATACCTTCCATGTACACTTTCCAACAAAAGAATCACATATCTTTGGCGGCATTTGGTAAAGTGCCCAGAGAGTCATTTGTATTTCAGGAGACTACACCAGAGGCTTTGGGTTGTTTCATAGACCAAGTTATATGTGAGGGAGCCACAAAGTTTTGATCTTGGGATGTGTTTCAGGTGTGCTGCTGAAAGCACTAGGCCTCTTTCTCAACTAGTATACGTGTCTTGGTAGCTCCAGCTTAAAGTGCCAGCCTATGAGTATTCATTTGAGGGACTTTAAACTCTGCTAAGGCATCCCCACCTAGTAATATGTACTCTCGGGAACAATATGAACGGGAACAGTTCACCTTTCTTCTTCCCAGTTTTGTGGCTCCCACAACCTTCGTTAAACCTGTCAATCAGTATGTAGTTTGGGATCTAAACTGCCCGTTCTGGCCCTTCTCTTGACCATAACATGTTCCAAAATTTGTAGTTGTGTCAAAAAAGTGAGGAAGTGTCCCCTTTCATATTGTGGCCTATAGTACACTGGTTGGCATGTAGCTAAAGTTTTGGTGGATCTAGCTATATCTAGGTGATCTGAATGGATCCTCACTTCTTCGCCAGGGAATATTTTCTGTCTTCACTTTCAAATGAGATATAAATTCCCAATATTCAGAAGCTTTTTTTTTTTTTTTTTTTTTTTCAGGTATTTTAGATAATCTTTCTATTATGATCTTGCTGGCTTCACATTTACTATAGAAGCACTTTTAAAGGTGCAGACACTGTTAGAAATTATTTAGATACCAACTTCATTGCTTGCAGCTTCACATGCAACACCTATATAGATCTTATTTTTTGTTGTCAATTTCTCAACATTCTCAGTGCAGATATGTTAATTAACACAGTTAGGTCATTTTCAGAGTAGATTTTGTCAATGTCTTGGGCATTCCAGCTACATTTATATGTAGTAATTCGCTTCCTAGTTTACGTAATTTTTCTGGATGGCAAACTGTGGAACTTTTATTCCCTTTTGTATTCCCTTTCAACCATTTTACTAGAGTCTACAATTCATTTTGTAAAATGTAAACTAGCTAAAGGAGCAGAACTTCTAAAATGAAGGACAGACAAATTTGAATTTGTATGGGTTCATTCTAATAGTATTACCATATTTTCCGGACTATAGTCCACACCTGGTGTATAGTTCGCAAAAGCAAGTTTCAGCTAAAAAACGAACCAAAAAAGGATCTGGTTTTGTTTGCACATAAAACATTCTCATACACTGCACACCTTGAGAATTGCCCACTCTTTTAGCTGACAAAGAAGTGTGCGTCGCAGATCAATCCCTATTAACATAGTCTGTCATTCCCAAAATCTTCCACGTCTCATCGCGATGTACGGTCTGGAAAAACAGATCCTTGTATAGTCCGCATAAAATTTTAACTTTTAAACATGCATAGTCTGCAAACTATAGTCTGGAAAATATGGTACTCTGCTTTTGGTTTGAGACAAGTGCCAAAAAGGAGGTTTGCAAGGCAAACATTGCTCTCTGCGTTCTGCTTTGGCCGTGACACCCCCCGGGCATTGCCTCTTGCAGGGTCGTCTGGCCATGGAGTGGGTCATCGGCCGTATGAGCCAAGAGGTCCAAGAATTGACCAACCGAACCGTGAAAAGTGTGGATGAAATCACAACGGCTGCCAAGAAGGGGATGGATGACCTGACACACCTGACGTCCACAGAACCTCACTACCACTTTAAAAACTGACATTGGGCCTTATTAATCTGTTGTATGCGATTTCTCCAAGACAGAAAACAAAACTTAGGAAACTTAACCAATTGATTATCATTATTGTCATTGTTACGGAGGAACCACTCTGTCGGATGGCAGCAGTGTCTGTGCTTTCTCAAGTGTCTTGTGGACATATGTGAACACTATTTGTGAGCAGAGCTGCAGCATATGAAATCGTGGCGTCCTTCGTTCCTTTGGGTCAGCGGTTTCCAACGTTTCCTGTCGTGTAAAACGTTCGCAAAGCAGGAATTGTCTCTGTGAATTTCTCGTGTTTGTGGCCATATTTGTAGAGTCGAATTTCAAACAAAAAAAAAAAATGGCAAAAAATTTTCTGTATAGTATCTTTTGCATTCCAGCTGCAGAATTTCCAAGGCTGGCCCGTGTGGCTCTTAAGTTCTGGAAAATAAAAGTTGGGAACTACTGACCTAGAATAAGGGACTAGTATGTATTTGTGCTTTCTGGGAATCGGCAAGCCAAAGTCACGTTAAGTCTGGGTCAGATCTGTGCATTGCTTGTGTTCACTCCAGCACCAGCAACTGTGGATTACCGCACCCACCTTTGGTCACTGGTGCTGCTGTTATGAGGGGAAACACCCAAAGGTGCACATGTTTGAGCCAGCCTTCGTTTGATGTCGGGATTGGTATGTGAGGGAAATGTATTAAATGCAACCTAGGCAGATGGAGCCATCACACTTTCTTGAATTGGCTCAGCTTGGTAAACTGCTTGCTTTCCCAGTTTTGCACATGTTTTATGTGGTTTTGCTCTTGAGAAAGCTTTTTTTTTTATTCACTGCGCATCTGGCATTACATCTAGTTTTTACAATGATAAAACACTCCAACATTCAGTCATATTTCAAAACTGCAGTCATGTGGAATTCTAGAACAGGGTAAGCTAATGGCAATTCTGAGAAAGAAAGAAAAACGAAAAAAGCTCGATTTGTTTTAGCTCATGCTCTTTTTCAAGGGGTTGTGTACTGCAGTGCTACCAATTCCTTTTTATGTCTAGCAACTTAGAATAACAATAAATAATTACCTGCTAGGACAGTCGAGGAAAGTGCATTTAGTGGTTATTATGATCTGGCTAGGGGGTGTGGGATCCAAGACAAAATGATCCAAGACAAAATGGTCCCAGTCAAAATGGCTTTGGGCAACGTGGCCCCGGGCAAAATGGTCCCATGTGCAAACCCGGACACAAAATGGTTTCGGGCTAACCTTGAAGCATAGTTGGCGTGCTCTTCGGGGAATAGTCAATTGTTTGTACTTGATGAAATTGCATGTAGAGAAAGGAAAATGTTTAACTGAATACTTAAGTTATGACATGCTTACCATTTTAAAGTTTATATATTCAATTTACAACAGATTGCATGTCAGTAGCTGAGCCAAAGAGAAAGAAAAAGTGTAATATGGAAGTATGTATACCAAAAATGTATTTATAAGTGACATTCAGCACGGTAAAAAAAAAAAAAGTTTCGTTATACACCATCACATGTAGTATGTGCACAATAATGTCCTTGATTCATCATGTGCATGCGTTTTCTTCCAGCTCCATTGCACTAATTCGAAATTTAATAAATGCTGTCGTAAGATGCACCTATTTTTCTCCCACACCTATATATTACGTTTTAGTAAAGTCGCAGTGCAGCCGGTGCTACAACCTGATAGGACCAGTCGAGCAGTGCTGAAAAAACACACTAATGGCGCTCAACAACTTTTTTTTTTTTTGTATGATATCCTGGCTAGTCCTATCAAGCGTAGAGAGTGAATCGCGACCTTGTGCTTTTAGTGTGCGCGTGTGTATTTGTGTAGCGATTTCCGCTCTAGCTTTGTACAGTGCTCTTATGTGAATAGCAGCCATATATCTAGCCGAATGAGCGATGATAGACCTTTAACGTTTGGGCTTTGTTAGTTGTTTCCTAAAATAGATCGCCAAAAACTTGAATGCATTAAAATATATCTTGCACGTGTGTGGAACAAGACTTCAAAGCAGCAGTTCACTAAGACTATCGGAGTGCCCAGTGTCAATAAATCACTGGGGACCATTTTGTTCGGGTTTGCGCTTGGGACCATATTGTCCGGGGCCATTTTGTCCAGAACCTTTTTGTTTGGGACCATTTTGCCCTATACCCAGGGTGTGTACTGATAAATGTTGATGTTAGATGTTGGGAAGTGGATGTAAAATAAATGTGCATGCACTGCGTTTCCATTTCATAGGTCACTCTTGACACCTCCAGTTTGAAGGCGCAGGGCAAGTAATGCCATGTGAACGGCGAGTACCTAAGGGAGGGATTTTGAGAGATGGCACGCAAGTTTTGCTTGTGTGCAGTTTCTTTACAAGTAAAAAGTGCTATTTTTTATACCATCTTGGAAGTTCGTTGAAACCTTCGCACAGTTGCCTTCGATGGCTGAAGCAGTTGGTGGCGCGGATCGAGTTTGGTACGAATAAAGACGGCATAGAATATTGCGCTTGTCTCAATTTCGCGCTGCCCGGCTCCTTCGCCGCGTCCTTCGAAGCGAGCGTATTTTGGCGCCTTCGCGTGCGCTCAGAAGGTGACAGGTCAAGTACGAAATGGAAGCCCCTCCCCCTCTTTCCACTTTAGTAGCAAATGTTAGTAGTGCGAACGCTGCGTTCGTTGCGCTGAAGTGGAAAGGGCTGGGAGAGGCGAGGGCAACGCCAGGCGAGGGGGAGAAAGGCAAGCACTAGGAAGGCTGGGGAAGGTAGAACCGAAGCCTCCTCCCATCTCTAACGTTCCTAGTGCTCTTCCATTTCTCCCTCGCCCTTCTACTACCTCCTCTCCCGTGCCGCCTCAAAAGAAAAAAAAAACAGTTATTAGGGAGTTTTAGTAGACCGTGCTTCCCTCTCCGCTACCCGACACTCTACAGCCAAGGTCATCGGCACGCAGGCGCAGTGGCGGTTTCTTCGTTGCGGAGGGGGAAACACGGTCTACTAAAACTCCCATCCCTATTGTTGGGCAAGCGCTTGAGGCATTTATGTACACTGCGACTGTTTGCAGGGACACGACATCGGAGCTTTTTTGCGTTTTAATCTTACAAGAAACCAGTCTTGTACACTATGAAGCATGGTGTAAGGCGCAAAACACAACGGACATGAGGAAGACGCACACCCAGGCGCCATTCACAACTATATTTAAAAAAAAAAGTGACGAAAAGAAAGATATGCATATCTCGTCACCTTCCTCACGTCCACGCATGCACTTGGCCGGATGTTACACAGTTTTTTCCGCCTCTCAAAACTTCTGAACAAACCTTATCTCCGCGTTATACAGTGCAATACACGTATCGCTTACGCATTGTGCGTCCCTTTTCCTGATATGCTCCATTAACTCGCGCGCTTTCTGGCTCTTTCCCTTACCCAGAATCGTCTCAGAAAAGCGCGGCTCACACTTATACATTTCCTGCAGTGTTCAGGTAAAGCTGCTTTCCCTGCACGAAAGTGAGCACTACTGACCCGAAGCTACGAACTAACCCGCCACAAAACTATGTCGCCAAATATTTAAGAGCGGCCCAGCCACGTGGGCCGCAAGCTAACAAAAAAAAAAAAAAATTCTACCGCTACCGTATGCGACCGTGGCCTACGCTAACCTATCTCCCACACCCCCAGCGTTATTTTAATCTGCATGTGCTACTCCATAAACCCTGACAAAGGAAAGGATAAACCGAAAGATCAGCTTCGCTGGAGCTGTCGTCGCGCCAGTCCAACACGTGGAGTGGTCGCATCAGTTCGTGGGAAATATGCTGTATGGCTAAGAGACAAGCCACCCGTTGAGGCGTACCACCATCAAGGCTGTATAATCATAAAAGCAACACAATTTGTAGGACTCCCCACAAGTAAGGGGGATTTCGTATACTACCCCCCTGACGCATTCAACATACGACCTGACATGCTTTGGAGTGCAACCTCCCCTTTATACCATCTGTACGAGCGAGTGCGTGCATCCACAATATGGGTGACAAGATTCCTCGATGCTTTCCCTAAATAATTTCTTGCAGACCACCGCAAAAGCCGGCGGTATCTTTTTACCTATTTTTTTCCGGCTGTACACAGCGGGTGAACTTCGCCGGTCTTTTTTTTTTAGAAGTTCGAACTCGCCGCTACGTTTCCCTTTCTTTTCAACTTTGGCAGATGGTTTTGATCACTGTTGCTTGCCATTTTCATTTTTCCATCCTTTTCGATACGCGGGTTTGGTCGAAAAAACAAAAACAATCGGGTGATTGTTTTGTTTTATTCGATTTTTCAGAACTAAACAGGCATTTGTACTGCAAAGTTCCTGCATTCACCATCTTGCCGTTCTGCTCGTACAGACCATTCTTATTACTTTGTTCAGCCGTATTTCTCCAGGACAAACATTATAAAACACTTTTTTTTTTGTTTGCATGAACCATCGCAGAATGGAATTCATTGCCGGCGGAGGTGGTGTGCCGCGAGACTATGGATCTTTTCCTTGGTGCATTGTGCCCCCCTGCAGTAATGCCCGTAGAGGCGCTGCTGGTTTTTCATGAATAAAGTATGAATGAGTAAATAAAGATGCCGTTCACCCTTGCTGCTGTTAGACTGGTGGCAGCTGGTAAAACCCGTTTGCTCTACTGACGTTTACTCCTGGTTAGCTCAGTTGGTAAAGCGCTGCAATGAAAATGGATAGGTCTCTGGTTCGATACCAGGACCAGGCGGAATTTTTTGACCGCGCACCAGTCGCATGCTTTGGCGATCCTGGCACCTGGTGACAGCTCTCCCCTCGATGGATTTCAACGATTGAAATCCTCATTAATTAATACGTGCTCGTGCATTCGAACCAGACTTGTACACGTTACAGAAAAAAGTAACCAATTACAATTACTTCACTGTAAAAAGTAACCAATTACTATTACAGCCTCAATGAAATAATCGAAAAATTATTCTGAAGTAATCGATGACTTCCCACATTACTTTTCATTCAACTTTTTTTTTTTGTTATGGAAGCATAATTCTAGGGGTCTTGCGCTCAGTTGTTCAAAAAAAAAAAAAAAAAAAAAGCCTTGACCGTTTTTGTTTAGAGCTGACTCGCAGACTTGTACGTAACGCGTCACAAGTAATGGATTACTTGTAATCGATTGCATTTTACCATAATTTTGTAACGCTTCACTTTAATTGAATTACTTTTTTGCTGTAATTGTTACAAAATTGCCCATACAATTTCTCTCGATTTTTTTTTTTTTTTTGAGGGGGGGGGGGGGGGGGGCGGGGCTAGGTGTGCTGGAGTCACTGAACTCTGGGCAACGGTAATTTTTCTTTTCCGAAATCACTAAGTACGGGACCTCCAGGATTAATAGGCCACTTCACTATGCTTCGTTTCCTAGGTACATTAATTTTTTTGTACACCGGAGATTACGTCCGGGTATGCAAAATGACATTATCCAGCCTCTTGTAACTAATGTGTATAAACAGCGCTCTTTTTATTTTTTTATTTTTATTTTTTTTCCGAGAGGGGTTGGGTGTGTTGGGGAGTGAGTGACGCCCCTGCTGTACTTTATTTTCACTGCGTTCGTGGAATCTTTTTTTTTTCCTGCCTTGTACTTGGGACCAGTTGTTCCGGAACCATTTTCTTCTACACCCGTTTTCAGTGCTACAGAACAAGGTACTACGAATGTACGCTGCTAGCCATTATGAGGCATAGCATGTTCTCACAAGGTCCAACACTCCGATAATGATAGCGAGTGAAGTGAGCAGACTGAATTTCGGAAAAGTTCCAACCCGTCAGGCAGAAATGCAGTTTCTTCTCTCACCCTACCTAACCCTACCAACCTACGACGTCAAGTAAAAAAAAAGAAGTTTTTGGGGGTGCAAATTGTGGACACACAATAAAAATGTTTTGCAAGATAACGAAGTTTTAAAGTTTATTCAATAAATTTGAAGGATGTAGCAGAAGACTAAAATACATATGAACAAATATAGGCAAGTTAAAATATAACTATACAATTTTACATTAACCAATTTTCTTAACCAGTACACCATGTAAACTTGTAGAGCACAGCGTTTACTCTCATCTTGTTAATTTTTTCATCTTTTTTACCGTCACAATTTTTTTTTTTATCTCTGCCCGGCCGAAGCTCAACTTCTCACTTTCACCAATAATCTATTTTATTTTCCATTCTTGACCATGGGTCCCAGGTAGACTGCCTTTCTTGACTTTTGCAAAGATTTTGATAGTTTCTCTCGAACTCTTTTTTTTTTTTAAACTTGGCAAACTTAACATTGATCCTGATGTTTTCTCCTCAATAAAAGGTTTTCTAACTAATAAATCTTAGTTTGTGGCTGCTAATGAGGCTAGTCCTGCCCTCAGTCCTGTTACCTCTGGTATTCCCCAGGAGGTACCCTTTATGACCCCTTTTCTTCCTTACGTAAATAAGAGAATTACCAACGTGGTCTATTATCACAAATTATCTTATTCACTAGTATTTTATTTCGTGGTGGCTGTGTAATCTATTGGGACGGTAACTAACTAATCGTATGCCACACTCGAAGGCGCGATATCCGGATGGTGAAACTTACGACAAATGACTCTCAACATTAATAATTCTAAACCATGAGGGTTTCTCGACGGAACACGTCCCCATCATGATACTCAATTTGAAACATCCAACTGCAATTTGGGACATCTTACAATTATTTTGGTGTCTACAGAACTCATACTGTGTCATGGAAAACTCACACCGAACCCACTATCACTAACGCAAATTATATGCTTAAATAAAAAAGAAATTAGCTCAGGCCCTATGCCATTAAAATTAAAATTACTCTTATACTACAAAGCTAGCCTGATCTAAGCTGGAATGTGCCGTATGAATCTGGGACCTCGGCCACGCAACGCCTGTGGCTAACCTCGAAGTTCTGCAAAAGCAAATGGTTTGCACGTGTCGCGAGTCCGCCCCTCTTTCTGGTGGCAAGAAGCGCCTGAACGCGGCCGAAGCTGCGCTCTCCCGCGCACCTTTCCCCCACGTCTACCCCTCTTTCTGGTGGCCAGAGAAGCAAGCCAGGAGCTTCTGGTTAAACGCGGCGGAAGCTCACCCGCCCTTTGCCCCATTATGTCTGGCCATCACACCGTAGTGTCTCATCTGTGAAAACCACTTCATTCCTGGCTCTCGTTACGTCAGAAAATAACTTAACGCGGGGAAACAAATCTTGTAGGAAAATATATTTTTGCACAAGATTTATCGTTCCAACCCTCCATTGAAAAGCGAGCTATTCCTTAGCCCCTCGTACGTTTCTTCATCATTTCAATTAAGGCCGGCATACCTCGCCTTGGAACGTCATTATACACCGACTACTTCATACCAAGAACATGACCTGACTGGAACCATCTTCCAGCATTTTTAGGAAACGTGCCAGCAATCGTTTTATTTAATAAGGCGTCACTAATTACCTTTGCGACCACCATGCCGGACCGATTATTTTCTAACATTTCA